TGTCTCTGATTTAGCTTAAACCAGGAAGGGATCTGGGACAGAAGTTGCATAAACCGGTTTGACTCAAATCAGTTAAGTCTAATTCAGCCAGGTTTATCTTAAACCAGTTTTGGCCATTTTGAAACTCTTTTATATGCACTGAACGTATGTTCTGTTACAGGTTGAAACCAGTTTCTAATCACTTGAACCGGTTTAAGTGTAACTTCTGTCCCTAGCTCTAGTGTTAAAGAACTGCCCTTGGTGTCAAAAGTGTTTTGTACTATTCTTCTGTCCACCACTGACTCGCAGGCTGACCTTCAGCAAGTCACTTTAACTGTCTCTCATCTTCCTCATCTGTAAACAGAATAAATACTTCCTTCCCTCAAAAGGTGTGGAGAGTTTTAATTCATTAATGTTTTAGAGAACTTTCAAAGACTCAGACTAAAGTGTGCATAAAGGCACAATACATGTATTACCAGTGCACAATATATACATTACTAGTAACATAGCATTTCTTATTAAAAAGTAGTGTTGAAGAGAGGTAGATTCCTTTGCATCTACTTAAAGATTGGACAGCATTATAAACTGATTTTCATGTTTTAACCATTTCACATATCAGCTTGAGGTAAGACACATTAGAATGAGCATTTACTTTAAATGAACTGTCCAGTTATCGGCTGTCTTATCAATAACACACTTTTAACAGAGGTGACATCACTATATGTACAATCCTATTAGATTAACTGAATAGTTGGATTAACTAAGAACATGGTCTTTAAAAGAAAACTATGATTCCCTGTGATTTAAGATCTGATCCAAAGCTCAGTGAGGCCAATGGAAGTCTTTTCATTAGCTTCAATAAGCTTTGGATGAGACCTTTAGAAAACAGAGGCACATAAACACTTGAACACATAATTCTAATATGTAGAAATGTCTATTTCTGAGCACAGTTCAGCTGCCCATCTTGAATCAAAAAGTAACTAAATGTACTCAAAGTTTATGGTTTATTAGTTACTTTTCTGCAATGGTTTTAGATACTGCTGACCTGCACATCATTAAAAAACAAGTTTCCTTCCCATATAACATGTTGTCCCCTAAACAGCAACAAGTCCAATGACTCTGTATAATTATAGTAATAACTGCAGATTTAATTACATTTTCAATGGACCAAGTCTGGCTCCTTTTTCCATGTATATGAAGGGTCCTACTGTACATGGGTGGCCAGAAGCATTTGACTCTGCTTTTCCTGTGCAAAATGAAGCAGCACTTTATTGGAGAGTCTAGGATAAGAAGCTTGAAGGATCTACTGCTATGCAAACCCACCAGTCACTCCCTGTCTTCAGGATTTGGGAATTAGGTAGGAAGTCTTTCCCTCCTTCAGACAATAGGGCAATTTTGCTAAGCGCAGCTGTGGTAAAAACTGCACCTTCTCAGTCCTTCTTACTCCACAGTTCTGTTCCCTATGTCTGTTTATTCCAATGACAAAATAAAGCTTTTGATTCTTATTTGGTTAGCAATCAGGCCAGTACAGCTTTGGGAGAACAAGATGAATTCTATTCTGGATCATATAACATCAGCAAAACTGTTATTTAACAGAGGGAATGTTGTCTAAGTGAGAGGGCTCTGGTGTTGAGACAGGAGACATGGGGCATGTCCAGTTGAGTATGTGCTTTGTGGTGCCTCAAAGGCTTTTGAGGTGCTGCAAAACACACGTGGTACACATCAAAAAGTTCTCTGTGCTGGATATTTGTAGCGCAGAGCCAAAATTAGATACTGGGCAATCCTGGCATTTAAAAAGTAAGGCTTCAAAAAAAAGTGGGAAGGTGTACAGAGCTGCAGTGTACACCACCTGAAAACAGAGCTCGGCTGGTCAGAGCCATACTCCAGCTTCCAGCCAGGCTCTGCACGCCCAGATCACCACCACTGCAGCCCCAGAAGGCCCCCAGGAAAGGCTTCTGGGATCAGCCCAGGTACTGGCCCCAGCATCCCCCACCCTACCCAGACAATTTGCTGCACATCAGAGTACATGCGCAGGGGCATTCCCTGGGGACATGTAGCAGTAACACATATTTGCTACTTGTCCCCAGGGAAATGCAAGTGTATACTTGTCTGGACATGCCTGTAGGTTCCTCTTCTTATTTCCACCAGTGACTTACTCTATAACTTTGAGCAAGCCATTTCCCCTTTCAGTGTCTCCATTTCTCTGTCATCTTGACTGTCATGTCTATTTAGAATGGAAATTCTTCAAAGACTGTTACCTTTTGTACAGTTTTTACCATAAAAGGCCTAAAACTCACAACCACCTCAATAACTTATTGTTCTTATACTTAACTACAAACTTCCATTTGCAGAATCCCTATTTCCAGGAACTGATTTTTGAGCCAGAAAGAAAACAGCTTTGTTTTCAGCTCTTGACCAGAGTTTGCAAGGCTAGCAATTAAAAAGAACCTTTTTACTTGGAAATGAAGCATCTCTAATCTGGAGTCAAAAGCATGGAATCCCACAGTACTATTTTTATATTTTTTCACATAGGCTTTCAAGAGCTTAACCAAAAATTACACAACAGAAAACAACTGCTGAGTCAGTGAAATTTTTGGGGAGAAGGACTTTTTTTTTTTTTTTTTTTTTTTTTAAATTTT